AGCATCAACGAGCTGGTCGATCCTTGGCAAGGGAAAGCTATCCTTCTGACAGGCTTTGTTGAGGTCGGTGAAGTCAAAGCAGGTTCGCCATTTTTTGTTGGGCTTTTTTACCAAGATTGGATTGGCAACCCAGCTTGGGTAAAGCACCTCTCGAATAGACCCATTCAAGAGGAGCTTATCTACCTCACTTTTCAAGGCAGCATAACGTTCAAGATCCATTGCTATTCTCTTCCGGCAAACCAGCTTGATTACACTGTCAATGTTTAGAGCATGACATATTACGTTTGGGCTTATCCCGACCATATTGACGTGAGTCCATGTAAAAATATCGACATTCTCTCTGAGGAAGCTCGTTAGGCTTTCGGTGAGCTGGGGGTTGAGATTACTCCCGATTCTTAATACTCTGGTCGACTTGTTTTCATTGACTGATACCTCAAATAGGTCCTCAACTGGCCCGCTGTGAGGGCACTCCTGGATGTGAGGATCCATGTTATCCTCTGCTTGTTCGGGTCGTGGCTCGATTCTACTGATTGCCATGGCCTGCTCGGGGATGCCTATTGGTTTTCCCTTTCCCTTGCACGCCATCTAGACTACCCTTATGTAGCAGTCACGGGATTCACGTTAGGATCCTTCTATTTCCCTAATCCCTATCGGGGTGGAAAACTTATCTTTAGATGATAGATAGAGATGACAGCCTTGAAATTTCGTAGTAGAGGTCGTCCCAGGATGTCATTAAAGGCGGACGGACAATCTACCACCAAGAAATCTTGGTCATTTCATTGGTTTCACCCAACATGACGGGGAGCGCAATCGTTCCCTTAGGAATAAGATGATCCCCAGTAAAACCATAAAGGGGGAAGGAGGCAAGCTTCAGATTTGCCTCGTCCAATTGCTTTCTTTCGAAGGCTTACTGAAATAGGATATTCACGGTGCCTCTATTGTCCACCAACATTATGTGGACTTCACACCGGCCTATTTTGGGTACGATGACGAGTGCATCGTCATGGGGGTGATGCAATCATACTGTGTCTTTTTTAGAGAAGGTAATTTCTTTTTCCTTATGGATCTTAACAAGTCGCGATGCCATGCTCATTACACTCAGGGGGTCATGGCGAGCTTCCCGATCATACCTTTCCTGAGCACCTCTAGAGTTTCCCGCGAGGTGTGGCCCCCCGAAAATGATCCCTACACAATAGAGCCCTTTGTGACCACGACGCTTCTTCCTTTATTCCTCTTAATCCTTTTCCCGAACGGGAGTCGGACCGTCAACATACTCCTTGAAGTGCCCATGTTTGATGAGGTTTTCAATTGCTTGCTTGAGAGCCCGACACTCATCAGTGTAATGCCCATTGTCCCGATGATAGCAACAGTACTTTTTGCTATTCTTGGCTGAGGGAGGATTCTTCATGGGCTCTGGTTCTTCGAGCAGGCTTGCCTCCTCTGACTTATCTAGAATTGCTGATACTGAGGCATTCAAAAGAGTGTATTAATTTTTGTCACAATCGCGACGAGGAACTATGGCATAAGATTTTTTGGGCTCAAATCGTTGCTTCTTTCCTTTCCGCCGATCGTCATTAGCCCAACCGTGATCAACCCTTTTACTGTTCTCCCCCCAGTCAGGAACACTGGTTGAAGGACCGGGGTTGTGGCGATTGAGAGCAACCATAGAATTTTCTATTCGGAGATACCGTTTGGTGAGGTCGTAGAAGCGAGTGAGGGAACCATCATCCTCAGATTATAGCTCTTTCCATAAGTTAGTCTACGGGCGAACCCCTACAATAATAAGAGTCCTAACAGACTATTCAAGAGTGTGAGGCACTTTGTAGAGTTCCCGGTGAAATCCGTCTATAGAAGACTGGAGGAACTCATCCCTCTCTTGCCATATATTGCTCAGATAGCTCAATGGCATTGAGAACTTCTTATTTGCCTGGAAGTGCCTCAAGAATAACGAGCTCATTTGTTGCCATGAGCTTATTGATCCTATGGGGAGCTACCTGAACCAGCGCTTGGCATGGGTGGTTAGCATCACTGCTAAGTAGCGATATTTGGCCAAGTCAGAGATTTGGTGGAGTTCCATAAGGTTATTGAACTCGTAAAGGTGGTCCTGCGGATCAGAATTCCCGTTGAATGCCCACATGTTGGGCATCCTGAATCTAGATGGGAGAGAAGCAGCTAGTACTGCTAGAGAAAAGGGAGACGCCTCAGCGATCTTCCCCTGTTCGTTTCGCTGAGCCTTGAGCTGATCCAATTATCGCTGCAACTCCTCTATCTGAGATAGCGAAGCTATCAGGGGGTTACTTTCCGCAGCGTGGGTTCGACTCATGGTTGCAATTGAGGAATGATCGAAGGTCGGGCCCTTCCGCTGCTCAGTCGGAGGCTCCAATGTACCCTAACACACGCTGGCTAGAGTCGTGTGAGGGTAGCGAATGGCTAAGGGAGTTTTCCCGACCCCCGCGGTGGTCAAAATCGACCCATGGATGATTGGGGTTACCCCGATAATAATAGTCAGGACCATTATTTTGATGAGGCTGGGAATCTCCCCGCCTCGCACTTTTACTTGTGTGCTCATATGACGTGGCGTGGGACAGCTCATGTTGCGACATGTCACCAAGTTACAATGCCACGGGTATTTTACCTACTGCACGATCGGTGTTCACTAGCCCGTTGGAGCCCTTTGGTCCACTGCTCGCCACTTGTTTCCCCTTACTTTTACACGTTGTTGTGCACGCGGTACAGACTTTGCCCTTTTCCATGACCTTGCAGATGTTTTTTGCAGCGGCACCGCCTCGTTAGACTTTGGCAGCACGACTCAGTCCAAATGGTCTAGCCTCTGGCTGACCGTTTGAAGAGTATTGTTGAACCTCTCCAGGTAATTCATCACGGCCGGGTTGAGTTGTGAGCTGAAAGGAATATCCGCCATGATACTCTACTAGACTGGCGACACTTCAGGAGAAGTGTCATTCTGTACCTGGGGGATTTCCTCATTGTCAAGATCAGTTTGCTCAGTTTCGAAACCACGAGCCATTTGTTGGCGGACAGAATCGATCAAAGGTTTCTGATGAAGAGTAGATACTAAATCAGGCCCTCCTTCTAGTGCCAAACTGTTGATGCTAGATTTGACATCAACTACTCACGCGTGTGAAGTACTAAGCAGACTTAGAAATCACACGTGGTATGGAAGTATAAAAAAAGATGTTGAATGGGTAGCAATTTTTAAAGTGATTCGGATGCTCTAAGGCGAATCTTACGTCCACTGTGATTATATTAATAGGGGATTACAATTAGGTCGCACTCGGCGAACTGGACTACAATAGAGAAATTAAATGTAGGGAGAGAGAGAGAGAGAGAGAATATATGTTTTGAGTGGTGGATGAGCCAATCCCATAAAATAGAGGAGAGCTCTCTATTTATAGTTGGAGGATTCAAGTTGGTAATCATGATTCTGTGTGCGGGCAAGTGTGGTACAATTTCTAACCTGTTTCCCAGTGGTTGTTTGCATGAAAGATATCCTTAAATCGCGTAGGGCTTCAATAGGTGGACAATTCCTAGCCATTCCTAAGTCTGACATTCGCTTGCCTCACTGACGATGACCCTACCCCTCTCGTCCTTGTGGGACGTGGCTGCATCTGGAATTCAAAAAATCTTCCTGAATTATGATTAGTCTTTGTTGATTTAAGCTCACGTCCGCCCTGGTTTTTTGGGCATAACAACAATGAAAATGAAATGTCCAAGATTTAAATTTTAATTAATAATGATAATAATAATAAAATTTACCATTATTATAGTGATATTTTAATAATTATTAACTACGACATTTGATGTTTTAGAAGATACTTTTTTTAATAATTATTCTTAGCACTAAAATTCTTTAAAATATCTATACATTATCCCTAATGTACTCAAATTTGTACTTTTTTTCAATTTAATTATAGCTTGTCTTAATACCCTTATGCCTAGCACATGCCTTTGCTAGATGGTAGTGCGAAATATATGAGACAATCTTCGTCTGGCCCAAGGAAACCGTTGCATTACCTTTCGAAATTGTATACGTGAGGCTGTCCTTTGACAGCTTGACTCATAAGCTCTCACTATTCAGAGTGGTATCTTACTGATGGGTGTATTAGTCATTGTTGAAAAGAAATTTCATTTTTCTTACCTTAACCTAGAGAAATTTTATTTTATTTTTAATGTATAAATCGGACATTAAAAGCAGCTTGAACAATAAGTGTTAAATAAATAAATAGAAAACAATGTGCCCGATTAAAATAAGAAATTTATAAAATAAAATAAAAAGAGGGACTTATTCATTTTTAAATTTACCCTTTTTCTTTTCCATTTTTCAACATGGGATTTTCGTTTGTTTATATATATATTTTTTTTAATTTTAGTTGAAAATAAAGAAAACAGTTGGGATAAAAAATGTTATAGACCCTATTTTTTATATAAAAAATTACATATTCTCTTTCTTTTGTATATATTTTTTATTCTCTCTCGTAAAACAAAATTCTCATTTCAAATCACGATTTTTGATACAAAATTGCAACCACTAACACATTTGATTTGAGAAACTCTTAGAGATAAACAAAGTAAATGATACTTTGGGTTCTACCGATTGGGAATGGGAAGATGATTAATTTCGTATTTTTCATTCTTTCTTTTTCTCTTTTTTAAAGACAAACATGTTGAGCGCCTTTTGATTTTTCGTCTTTTTCAATCATTTTCAATATTTAAATAAAAAAAATGATACACAAAATTCTTAAAAAAGACACACAAACATATTTTTGAAATAATTAGATAGGATGTATAAATCTTAATTTTATTTGTAAGTTTTATTTAAAATGGTATTAGAAAGATATTTAGCTGGTTTTAAATAAATATCACCACTCATCAAAATTAATGGACTTTGGTAGGAGAGGAAATGGATCAATTTAAAGTTGATTCTTAAGGAATTATGAAATCCCACAGAGATCATCAAACCAGAAAAAAAATGAACCCAAACATAACTGAAATAAGATTTTACTATTACATTTGGTATTTGGAACAATTAATGAGATTATTAAACTGTCCAAGGTACAAAATTAACTTTGATATTGCAAAGAAAAAGAAGCAATATACAAAAATAAACTGTATTCTTAAGAATTTAATTTTCATGCTGCTCCCCATACCCTTCAGGAGAGAGTACCTACAAGGAACAAAATATACAGGATTTAAGTCGACTAAACAACACAGACGAAAAGGTCACAACCATAGAATTGGCATCCTCCTATTTCTTCCACCTATTAAGGCCAAAACACAAGATAAATTAAATGCTACGGAAAAACAAACAGCGACATGGTTCCATTGCCCGCTAAATCAAGCCAGTATTTTGTAAAGAGTGATCCTACGTATCCCAACTAATGAGAGTACTTATTTATCAACACCACATTAATTGTAAAAAACACAACATCACTCCACAAAATACTACCATTAATGTGATACTGACACCTCAACAGCCACATCATTTGAGATCCCAACTTTGTATAGATAGGATTACTGTTTTGCTACACAAGGTGAGGTGGTTAAGTAAAGATCAATCGAGCAACTGGTTGCTAGTGTTTTGTGACAGCGCCATGGAATTTGACTACAACAAAACATTTTTAAGTTGCAACCTGTTCTGCCTTCAAATGAAAGAAGAGACCTAGAATGTTTGCATAATGATGGCTATTTTATGGGTCATTTGAATTAGGAAAAATAGCACTTTTTGATTATTACAAAGGCAATGATTCTTCACAGTACAGTAGCACAATCCTTTTATTATATCGGTTTCGTGGGGTGTGTTTTTTTTTTTTTTTTTTTAATATTATTTTGGGGTGGTTTTCAGTGATACTAAGTCTTCTAATTAGTTATCTGCGCTGAAGTAAGATTACTTGAGTGTTCTTAGTACCTAAATATGTAGAATGGTCAGAGAACAACATTTTATAGATAACTTTTTAAATTCTTTTCTCACTATATATAATTTTATACAGTTTCCTATCAAAGAAGAAAATATAGATCCCTTTTAATTTTCAGCACAAGAGGCACCCTAGATATGCAGCTAAACATCAAGAAAAATGAAACATACATATTCTATGACAATAAAGCTGAATGGTTTTCTATAGAGGGAATTTTGGTTAATTTTTCATAAATATAATAAAAGTTGAATATTTCTCTTCATTAAAAATTTCTGGAAACCAAATTCAGTAAGAGAAATAACATAAAGGCATACCAAACCCAGAGCTTCAGCTGCGGTTCTCTGACTCTCTTCACTGCAAACCCCAACAAGCATATTCATTAAATATTCCCTCTGCTCCACTTTCAAGAGTTTTTCCAGGCCTCGTGCCACCATCTCCATCTCAGGCTGCAGAAGCATATCCATCATTAATCACACAAGGTCACATAAAAGACAAAATTTGTTATAACTGAACTGCATAAATAAACGAATACATCCGCCAGAAGATTGGTAAGTAGACATTCATTTAGAGTTGCTTGCTACATCAATAATTTAGACAGGCTAATATACCTAAATACAGATTTTGCAACTCATACTTTGGACAGCCCTGTTCCCCCTCATCCCTTTTAATTAGATACCAAGCGTGATGATAGGTCTTTTTAGTTTTTGCAGTAGATACTAAGGTACGTTTCAGGTTTTTCCTTCTTAATTCCCATGTGGACAGCTTCTTCAAATCTTTTTACATCTTTAAATTCCTTTTTTAATAAAATCCTGTGTTCGATATCAAATGTATTATTTATATAAAAGGGCATATTTTCAAAAAATCTTTAAATTTGTGACTAAGATAAGAACATACAGAGGACTCTTTAGGAGGAAAAATACAAAGAACACGACATATCTTTGACAACTCCGACACAGCTTCAAAATGGTTACCCTGCATTTCCAAAGCCTGTAAAAGTGGATACCAGTTAGAACATTAATATTCAAAATGATTACAACTAGTTCCTGCAAAGAAATAAAAATAATCAACAAATAGAAATTTTAGCTAGATGTAACAGCTATGACAGGATTATGTGTTTTTCAGAGGAAAAACACGTGACAATTAGCATCCTAAATTCAAAGATCTGTAACAGATAAAAGGAAACAATGGTTAAAGACAGGTCTTATACATAGCATTCCTTGTATTTATTTTATAAAAAAAAAAAAAAAAAAAAAATGCTATTTTTCTTGTTTCATGACCGTTACACCAAATAAACATCAATCACCAATATCTTGATCAGAGAGTGATACCAAAATACAGCACATCAAGTTACACCATCACTGAATGAGCTAGATTGGGTAATCTTAGATTACCCTTTTTCTGTTAATCCCTATAGAATAGGTTATACCATAAAAATTGTTCCAAAAAGCATTAGAAGATTTAAAGACCTCCCTGAAGTACAGAAGTTAAGATCTGTTTTCTAAACATAAAAATAAACAGTTTTCACCCCAATTCGAGGAAAAACTATACTTTCTGTTCGCAAGTGCCAGTAAGAAGAAAAAGAAAAATTGTCTCTGTTAAAAAAGGTAGGACATCTAAGTGAGTTGGAGACCTTACCCATGCCTGCAGAAAACATGAACGTGTCCGTGCAGCAACAGCTGCAGACACCATCCTTGCCGCTCGAGTGTTTTCAAGCCCAATGTTATCGGCAAGACCAGCGATGAATTGTCGGGCATCTTCACCATAAATATAAACAGAGGTAGGTTCACCAAGCTCCCTGCAAAGTTCCCAAACAAGTTAAAATCGATTAGAGAAAACCAGTACAAGTAAATAATGATTAAGTGAACTAAATTCACTCACCGGCTACAAACATTTAGAACGAAATCAACAGATGTGCGATATAAGGAATCTCTTGTATTTATTGTGTCAATGGAGACCCGTACTCCAGATGTCCTGCATAGTCGACGTAACTGCTCATCCATACAGGCAAAAGAAGTCCAGTGCACATTGAAGGATCAGCTGACGCAATGGAAAAAAATTTACCGCACATTACAATTATTAAATTAAAGAGGGAAATTGTAAACTTAGTTCAAGTCCTATTAGAAAATTTATATGGCATATTCCTAGTTCGTAAGGTGATTCAAGAAAATACAAGCAAAGAAAGAAATAAAAAGATGTTACTTAAAGGTTTAAGAATGAAACTTTAAACAAATATTACAAGTAAAATGAAAAACAGATTCCGATGCATGGAATGAAGCAGGGACAACCATACACATATTAGAATATATGATCATCAATCATGCATTGCCTACATTAATAAATGATATCATTTTGACTTATCCTCTGCTACATTAACTCAATTTGGATTTCTATGCAAAAGTCAAAGACCGGATAACTCTATAAACTCATTGTCAATAACACCAAATCATATAACACCAGAAAGGTCACAAAAGCACTGACTTGAATTATTTCATCCTCCATAATGTCCTGTCCACTCGTTCTATGGTCGATGATAGCTGGAAATCAAGTTCATGAGTTGCATTTGAAGCAGAAAACCATAAGCACAACAATAATGAAAATTTTAAAAATAGGGATTTTTACCTGCAAGAAAAGTATAAGCAATAATTACAAGTAGGATTTTATGCCAGCTTTAACTAAATGTAAAAAGAAAAAAACCATATAAATAAATTATTTCACACTGACCTCGAATCAATCTGTTGGCCTCTCTCTGATACTCCTCCTTGTCCACCACCAAGGTCTGTTCTGCCGCCACAATTGCCGGCCACCACTGGGGCAACTTCTCCTCCTTCCTGACCTGGAAACCCTTCCTTACCCGACCCGAAACTCCATAATCATCCACCCGACCCGGAGCCAATGGGTTCTTCAAAGGCTTATTGAAACCTCTTCTGACATCTTCTTCAGTCCCAACCACCACCTCTTTCCCTCCAAGACTCCTATCTCTTCTAACCACAACACGTGGCTTACTAACCCCAAACCTATCCCTAACCCCTAACCCTAATCTAACCAAAAACCGAAAAAAGAACACCAAGACAAACCCAGAGAGCAAGAGCCCACCCAAAAGCTGAAGGGAGGACTTGCGGCAGGAGACGAAGAGCCTGCCATTGTCGTCGAGGGTAATTATAGTTCTGAGGTCGTGGTACGCCTCTTCCGCGGAGGAGAGGATGTGTTGAAGGCGGGATTTGGAAGAGGAGGACAGGACTGAAATCTGGTGAAAGTCGAGGACTAAATTGATATTTTCGAAGTCTGCAGAGGGCTTAATAAAAGGTTTGGTGTTTTTGTCGTTGTTGGAGAGGGGGTTGAAGAGGGTTCGTTTGGGGCGGCGAGAAAGCCGTCGTGTGGGGAAGGAGAGGCGGGGGGAGATGAATTTAGGGAGAGATTTGAGGGGGGAGAAGTAGAAGAAAGAGAGAGAGTTGAGAGAGGTCATTTAGTTGAGAGTTACATGCATGAAATGAAAACGAAGAAAAAAAGGAGATTGGAAATGGAAAGGATAAATTAGAGAGAAAGCAAAAGACGAGGACGGAGGAAGCAAAGGGTCGTTGTTCGTTACTTGTCTTGTGGGGACTGCGCTCTCTGAGTCGCAAGGTTTTTGGTTTTGTTTGAGAGGGCCCATCACATTGGGCAGGATTTTGCCACTGTGTAATTAAGTAAGGTTAGATTTTTTTTTTTTTTTTAATTTATTCGGGAAACTACAAATAATATTTAGAATCTTATCAATGAATTTTTTATATTATTTTTTAAAAGTATAAAGTAATGAATTTTTTTATTTTTTTTAAGTATAAAATAATAAAAAATTTCATATATTTAATTTTTTATTCTATGAGGTATCTAAAATAAGAGAGATTTATAAACCCTAAACCCTAAATTGGTTTATTTTGTAAAGTTGGTAAAAAAAAATTAATATTTATAAAAATAAATTTGAGTTGCAAATGGAACTTTTAATTTTATTCACATGAAAAATTGGTAAGACTTAATGTCAATTTCAAAAACTTAGTTATTTTTAAAAGGATAGTACTACACTTACAACTTAATCTCATAAATTTTTGTTCTCACAATCTTGATATGATAGTTTCTAAATAGTCAGTTGGGTCATCTCTATCTAATTGTAAACTGTTACGTTTGGGTTGTAAAAGAAAGTTTGTAAGATTAGATTGTGAGAGTTATAAGAGAAAATTTGTAAAATTGAATTGTAAATCAATCTTTATTATTTTTAAAATGACTAAAAAGGAAAACCATAATATTAAATAACAATTTCTCGCATTTACAAAATAAATATCACATTATTATGTGGTTTGCCGTATAAATAAAAAGTTGATAAATGATATGTCAACAGCAAATCATTTGGTATAAAAATTTTGAAATATCATTTGCAAGTATTGTCTTAGAAAATATTAATAGCGATTTCTCGCAGTTGTAAAATAACAAAAAGCGTAGCAATCTCGCGTTTTAGCCTCAACAACCTCAACGAAATTAACCCAATTATTTGAAGAGTGGGACTCTGCTATATGATCATTGAAGTAGATTTGAGCATACCTCAAATTCTAAAAATTTTGCATATTTTGTAGACAAAGTATTGTATCGCTGAAAGGAGGATAAAATCTGGCCTGTTTTATTATACCAAAACCAAAGGAATGTTGTAATAGTGTTTACAGAGTACACTTAAATAGCACATATTCATATTGGTAGGAAAACAAAGAAATATTTTCCATTTTTAACACTATAGTCTCATACACAAACAAATTTATATTTTTCCGTAGGAAAATTTCATATATTGGGGACAAAAAATCTATTCCTGGTCTAAGATAAAAGAATACAAATAAGAGTACGAAGCACCATATATGTGTGTATGTCAGGGCAGGAGGAATTTGGGAGAGCTTGGAACCAAGTTCTTCGCTATTCTCTATCTAAACCTCCGGCGGCCATGTCCCTGATCGCTCTTCACCATCCAGCCCCCAGAAGTAATAAAGAGACCTCGAAAAAGCATAAAGAATTTTATATGTTTCTAATTATTATTCCACTGAATGATTCTCAGAACTGATTTCATCTCCTGTACCATCCAATGTATCCTGCCAAAAGAATTTCTTTGAAGAAAACTCCTGCAATAAAATGTTGTATAATGCCGATGAATATATGGTTCGATAAAGGAAATGAATATTGGCTTGGTGAAAACTGAACAAAGAAACAGGGGACCGTCTTCCTATCAACATTTACAATTCACAAATACAGAAAAATTACCTGGAAAAAGTAACATATGAAACAAGTAATAGCATTTAAATTACAGTATGATTTTGAGACATATTCCACATTCTAATTTTATGTACCACTTGAATTTTTATTATATCTCCGAGACCTTGTTTGCATAAAAAAAACATGTCACCAAAACACCAAGTGTACCTTTCACAAAAATTATGAACCATCACTTTCAATGTGAAAGTTACTAGAAATAACCAAGAATAAACTATCACAAGGCTTTGACACTAAATCTCCTTGTCACTGCAAAAAAAGAATAATAGGCCCCATCTCTTTTATAGGTGTGATTAGGCACAAAATGCAACATAAGATATAATCAACCTAAGAATAAAGTTAGCATAACATACTCTAAAATATTAAGTGGGAAGAAGTGGCTGTCTCTCATCAGATCCTACACGGTGACTAGCCTGAAAAAGGGCAAAACAGAAAGCATGTGAGTCCATACAACAATGGAAAATCTTTCTACCAGAAAGGGCAAAAAGAGCAACTAAAATTCACCTCTTCATTAGCTCCAGCTGTCATATTTATAAATGAATCTTTGGACCTGGACAGGAAGAAATAAATTTCTAATCATAAAGACAAGAAATCCCGGTATTTTTCCAGTACTCCAGGACTATTCTTTTTGCCCCAAATAAAAAAAAAAAAATACAAGAGACGCTATTCTTGGCATATTAACAACAGCAGGGAGCTTTTTGGCATATTCTTGTTAGAACACAACTATAAGATTTTCCAAGAGATGCATAAGATCAGAACAGAGGATCTAAATACCTGGGGTTCTCCTCAACCTCTCTCAATTCCTTCATCCCATTTTGTGGTTCATCTTTAACTTTTGAAAGGGGTGAAAAGAACTACAAAGATAATAAAGGCACAGTAACATAAATTAAAAAGAAACAACAGGAAAACAATTTTTTAATACTAAATTATCCACTCAAGAAATCTATTAGACATAATCACCTGATGCATTGAGATGAACACGATAGAAATTCCTAACAAAAAGTTAATAGTTAATTTATGACCAAACAGAGCAGCAGATGCTATGCCTGTAAAGATTGTGGCAACTGTTGAGGAATACTTCTTCAAGATTGTATCTGAATGAATCAAATGAGAACACAGATTAGTTTGTGTATAGATATATTCTTACATGGTCTACCAAAGCAACAATGTAAATAGAAATATTTCTATAAGATGCTTATAGTAATTCTGTAATTCTACTCTGCACTGTACACAAAATAGTCTTAAATTCAATTTGAACCAAAAACACAATGAAAATCAAAAAACACATGTAATTGATAAATTAAAGTAACCTGCATATTTGAAGAAAAAAGAGGACAAAATTCCTTGAGCTGCATTGTTAAAGATTAGAAGCATAGTAGCTTTTGAATGTCCTTGTAGGATATCAAAGCTTTCTGGACCTGAAACGTTTAAAAAACAAAGATATAAGGGAAAAAACTCAAATTTCAATCAAAACATAGCATACACAAATGCAACAAAATTATAAGCAAAGATTGCATCAGGTATCTTTTGGCAAAGGCCTCATTCAGGCTAACAAATATGCAGACTAAATAGAATGGCAAGTACATCACAATCTAACATATCAGCATCATATCAGGACCGAATCAGTTCTTCAAAAGTATATATTTACTTAAAGTATGTAGATAAAAAGACATTATTTTTTTTTAAATTAAAAACCCAACTCTTCAAGCAATTGAAATAGCTTCATTAAAATATAAATTTCCTCAAGTTTTATTTCTCTCAAATTACAGACTCAACACTAGCTCCTTCCAAACATACATGATTTCAATATATTAGCTGTATTCTCAATCAGAGTTTCACATAAAAAAAGAAAAGGGGGGGTGTTGGGGCTGGGCTAAAGGAAAAAGATTCCAATCCATACCTTTAATAATGACAGTTCCCAATATACCTAGAAAGTTGAATATCGCACCATACCCATATAAAAATAAGTTCTGCAGGCCAAAAGAAGATTTTAGAGAATAACTAGCTGAAACTATACCTTCTTTACTATCAAAATATGACAACATAATCACAGACTAGAATTCTCAAATCATTTCCCCAACCTAAACCAAAATTCCACTAAATCGCAGTACATCACCTGTAGATAGATGCTTGNAACAATGGAAAATCTTTCTCCCAGAAAAGGCAAAAAGAGGAACTAAAAATTCACCTCTTCATTAGCTCCAGCTGTCATATTTATAAATGAATCTTTGGACCTGGACAGGAAGAAATAAATTTCTAATCATAAAGACAAGAAATCCCGGTATTTTTCCAGTACTCCAGGACTATTCTTTTTGCCCCAAATAAAAAAAAAAAAATACAAGAGACGCTATTCTTGGCATATTAACAACAGCAGGGAGCTTTTTGGCATATTCTTGTTAGAACACAACTATAAGATTTTCCAAGAGATGCATAAGATCAGAACAGAGGATCTAAATACCTGGGGTTCTCCTCAACCTCTCTCAATTCCTTCATCCCATTTTGTGGTTCATCTTTAACTTTTGAAAGGGGTGAAAAGAACTACAAAGATAATAAAGGCACAGTAACATAAATTAAAAAGAAACAACAGGAAAACAATTTTTTAATACTAAATTATCCACTCAAGAAATCTATTAGACATAATCACCTGATGCATTGAGATGAACACGATAGAAATTCCTAACAAAAAGTTAATAGTTAATTTATGACCAAACAGAGCAGCAGATGCTATGCCTGTAAAGATTGTGGCAACTGTTGAGGAATACTTCTTCAAGATTGTATCTGAATGAATCAAATGAGAACACAGATTAGTTTGTGTATAGATATATTCTTACAGGATCTACCAAAGCAACAATGTAAATAGAAATATTTCTATAAGATGCTCATAGTAATTCTTTAATTCTACTCTGCACTGTACACAAAATAGTCTTAAATTCAATTTGAACCAAAACACAATGAAAATCAAAAAACACATGTAATTGATAAATAAAAGTAACCTGCATATTTGAAGAAAAAAGAGGACAAAATTCCTTGAGCTGCATTGTTAAAGATTAGAAGCATAGTAGCTTTTGAATGTCCTTGTAGGATATCAAAGCTTTCTGGACCTGAAACGTTTAAAAAACAAAGATATAAGGGAAAAAACTCAAATTTCAATCAAAACATAGCATACACAAATGCAACAAAATTATAAGCAAAGATTGCATCAGGTATCTTTTGGCAAAGGCCTCATTCAGGCTAACAAATATGCAGACTAAATAGAATGGCAAGTACATCACAATCTAACATATCAGCATCATATCAAGACCGAATCAGTTCTTCAAAAGTATATATTTACTTAAAGTATGTAGATAAAAAGACATTATTTTTTTTTAAATTAAAAACCCAACTCTTCAAGCAATTGAAATAGCTTCATTAAAATATAAATTTCCTCAAGTTTTATTTCTCTCAAATTACAGACTCAACACTAGCTCCTTCCAAACATACATGATTTCAATATATTAGCTGTATTCTCAATCAGAGTTTCACATAAAAAAAGAAAAGGGGGGGTGTTGGGGCTGGGCTAAAGGAAAAAGATTCCAATCCATACCTTTAATAATGACAGTTCCCAATATACCTAGAAAGTTGAATATCGCACCATACCCATATAAAAATAAGTTCTGCAGGCCAAAAGAAGATTTTAGAGAATAACTAGCTGAAACTATACCTTCTTTACTATCAAAATATGACAACATAATCACAGACTAGAATTCTCAAATCATTTCCCCAACCTAAACCAAAATTCCACTAAATCGCAGTACATCACCTGTAGATAGATGCTTGTGTCATATTGGCTTTTCAGAGCATATTCATTGTAGACAGAGGCCAAAGATGGAACTGTTACCTGTAAAATAAACCCCTAAGCCTCCAATTTGCAGAACATGTCTTAAGATAATAATACATTATGTAAAGGAAAACTGCTAGACCTAGCTGAATTCTAGGCCAGCACTTTCCTAATGTAGGATAAATAAGCGGCCAGCACTACCATAAACAAGAATCAACACATATCACTTACAAATATCAATGTGTAGACGTATGCACCAGTTGCAACTGGGAGGCCCAAAGCAGTTGTCCCTTCAGGCAATGAACGTAGCTGATTTACACTAATTCCAATGAGCAATAGGGCCAGAGCTTCCCACTGTAGCAAAGCCAATGATCGATTTTTTGCATATACCATATTAAAAGAAGTCAATGAAATTGAAATGTGTATGCACAATAGTGAAAGCAAAATAATTATAACTAAACTTTCTCCCACTAATGTTTCAAAAAGCTAAATATGGAAATAAGTCCAACCAGAATATGGAACTAACCTGAATTATGGAAAATCGACGTCGCATTATAATCTTTAACAAAACGGCGATTACCAACACCTGCGCACATTCACAGTCAAGCCCAAAAAGTGAACACTAGAAGCCAACATTTTTGCAAATAAAATAAACCCAGATTAATTAGGAGAAATAACAAGCATTTCCATAAGTCACAGACACCCCAAGTATGCAGTTCATTTTCAACAAAAGCTGCCAAATCAGACCTTGAATCCAGGGTGAAAACCTTATTAGAGGTTGCAAACCCAAAACTAGAGATAGAGAGATTTAACATTTGATAAACAAGTATACCTTAGCTATTCGAAGAGTGAGAAAAATTATTAGAAAATATTCAGAAAGCCACGGCCATAAGGCTAATTACAGCTGCAAAGAACTTTCTTTAAAATGAAAAGACAGGAAGTTCAAAAAGTTTTCTTCTTCTATCTTTTAAAAATTGTAAAGTTTTAAGAACACAACATAATTAAGAATTAAATATAATAAAACTGCATATTAGGCAAAGAATAACGCCCAGGAGCTAAGCAAATCAATGCATGACAGTGTGTAATTTAACCAAGATGCCAATAAAGATAGCATTATGTGTAAAAAAAAATACCTTCAGATTGCTCAACATTTTTACAGTTGCGGGATTGAAATATAGCTGGAAAATAAGAAAACAGCATCAATCAATTAAGATTTTAATTATAAAAAATTTAATATAAAAACATATATGCTCTATCCTATAACAGTCAACTCCCCAACAAGAAAGGATCCCATTAAATTCACTCTGGCTAATCAGCATCCATAGATTCTAAAATGCCTTAAAATCCTCAACACTTATACCTCCTAGCTCAGATGTTAGCCTGGGTAGCTAAGCAGTTTCTATGCATACATAAGGTTATAAATTTTGTAAACTCTTCACAAGAATTCAAGAGACCTATATGCACCTAGGCTCCTGCCGATGCAACATATTTACACAAATCTGGAAAAAAAATGAAGTCAACTTGCATAAAGACATACAAACATGGAGAGTATCATATTGGCTATTCAAAAGATTATACTAAGATAACCAACTAAAAGAATTATACCTGCATGATGAACTTTAGATAGTTATTGATTGCATATAAAAATGCTGGAACAGCAAGAAGAACATTGTTGCGAGCTGCCTGCAATAAGGTCATAGGAGATTGCGATGATTATAGGCCATCAATTAGGAGATTTTTGTTGTCAGCATTCTTACACTAAAAATCAAAATCTCTTATCAACAGGGAATAATAAGCATAACAAAATTATAATACATATAAAAAATTCTTTAGAAAAAAAGAAAAAAAAGTTATACATAAGACAAAATTATAGCAAGCTTAAAAATTTTACAACAAACCCAATAAAACAAGATCTAGATCTGAGAATCTTATCCTCATAATCCAAAATTTGAATGCAAAAATTTCAATATCAATGAGAAATTGGTACCTGCAAAAATGTGGACATTGAGAGGAGCGGCTTTTCTCCAACTTTTTGACGCCTGGCCTGCAGGTTTAACAAAAATCTTAACTGGGTCAATTTAACCCTCATGCACAGCATAAAAACATAGCATACGTCACTCAGAAGCTTCCACAATGAAATTCAGGTCACTTCAGAGTAGAACCAGCTACCAAAGACAACCGCCTCATTTCTGCCTAAAACCACCTACCAACTTCTCTCCCCTATTATCTTTCTCTCTCACACACAAACACACAATATAATAAATTTCTCGATTAACTTAAATTCAGCTTTAATAATAAAAAGTAAAAACAAAGCACAATCACTACCATGTGCGGAAGCAAATAAGATTAAACAATTAACCTATAATGTCAAATCATCCTCTTAACAAAGCACCTTCGTTCCATATGTAGAGCTCATTTCATAAAGTATTCAGAGAAAATTAACAACAAAATGCAGGAAACAAGCTATTTATCGAGTTAAAGAGTAGATGAAAAAATAGTATACCTGGAACACAAGCATAACAATGGCGAATAGAACTTTTGCAAGTTCAGTCAAAAAGTTCACACTAATTGGGCTAAACTTGAAACGGCCATCAACCTTGGACATATATACCAAAATCGGCTGCCAAATAAAAATTTAAAATTTAATGTGTCAATAATCAAGAAACAAGGATTGAGTAGTTGAGATTATAGCATGGCCAGAGGCCTTCACTAAATATATATAGACAAAAGGTATCAATTGCCCACAAACATCAGAAAAGCTAACACAGCCAAACGCAGGACAAGACAGTAATTGGAAGGAAAAAAGAAGTTAGTTACAAAAATCAACATATAGTCAAGTACATATTTCAAATTAGTTCCCTCGTAAAAAGAGTCCCTGGGCGAAGCTTGAAGAATTTAAAGCCAAAAAACATATCAAGTAGTTGATGGAACAAATTCAATAAGTATTATAAGGAAAATGAATCTACCTGTAGACCAACTAGCATACAATCACCAACAACGAGGAAGACGTTGAGAACGCGTTGCTTTGAGGATACCCTGTTCTTGTGTCGATCGTAAGCCCTCGACACGGATTTGGTAGTGGGGGAAACCAATCTGGAATGGCAGACGCTGCATTCTATCATCCCGTTTTTTTATTGATTTACCCGAAAAGAATTTGTTATACACTGTACAAAATTGAATCTGACAAACAACCAAAGAAAAAAAATCCAAGTAAGTCATCACATCCACCATCACAAATTCAAATTTCCAAAACACACAGCAAGGACATCAACTGACACAACAAATTTAATTCCATAAAACACAAAATCTCAACTTGAATCAATATGAAACCGAATAAAAACACATTTCCAAATTGTATCAGCAACCAAAAAGAGCAAAAACTTAACGGACCAATCAGATCTTGCCACGACATAAGCAAAAACTCTGGAATTCAGAAATCAAGAGCAAAAACGACGATCTAGAAATCCACAATTCGATCCGCAGAAAGAGATCAGATCTTAGATGGAACTAAAATCGCAAAACGTAACGTGAAATAAATCAGATCGTGAAAGAAACGAATCTCACCAAGTTAGTAGTAATGCTCGGAGATTGAGCTTCGTCGTAAATTCAAAGCAAATTGATTTGATTTTGAATTGTGGTGGTTTAAAAGGTGAGTAAGAGAGAGACGAGAAGAAGAAGAAGAGATGCGAAGAATATGCAGACAGAGAACAAGAGGTGCGAGTTGTGTTTATTATTAACTAGACTTCTTCTCTTTTTCTCTCTTTCTCTCTTTCGCTTTGAATTCACAACAAGGTTGTTGTTCTTTTTCTACATTTTTTTTCTTTTTTTTTTTTTTTATTTGGAGATCGCCTTTTTTTTTTTTTTTTTNTGTGTGTGTGTATGCCCAGTCGATAGTTCCAAGGCTTCGAAAGATTGATTGAGATACGTGGAAGATTGTCCAGACCCCTAAGTCATATATATGTGTGTGTGTGTGTGTGTGTGTATGTGTGTGTGTGTGCGCGCACGCTCGTCGGTTTGATTTTAACTTTAAATCTATTTTTTTATTTTTTGCAAAATAAATAGATTTAAAATTATTTCAAAACTATTGGAGGTGAATTTAAATTATATAAAAAAAGTCATGGAAGGTTACAAAGTGTCCAATGCCACAAGCCACAAGCTCTCTTAGCATGTGCAAGGAGTGGGGTTTTCCCATAAGGATGTAAATCTCATTTTTTATTTTCAATTCTAATTAATTAATTAATTAATTAACACACACATATATAATTAATTAATTAATTAATTATATTATATATATATGTGTGTGTGTGTGTGTGTGTGTATGTGTGTGTGTGTGCGCGCACGCTCGTCGGTTTGATTTTAACTTTAAATCTATTTTTTTATTTTTTGTAAAATAAATAGATTTAAAATTATTTCAAAACTATTGGAGGTGAATTTAAATTATATAAAAAAAGTCATGGAAGGTTACAAAGTGTCCAATGCCACAAGCCACAAGCTCTCTTAGCATGTGCAAGGAGTGGGGTTTTCCCATAAGGATGTAAATCTCATTTTTTATTTTCAATTCTAATTAATTAATTAATTAATTAACACACACATATATAATTAATTAATTAATTAATTATATTATATATATATGTGTGTGTGTGTGTGTGTGTGTGCGCGCACGCTCATCGGTTGATTTTAACTTTAAATCTATTTTTTTATTTTTTGTAAAATAAATAGATTTAAAATTATTTCAAAACTATAGGAGGTGAATTTAGGATTATATAAAAAAAAGTCATGGGAGGTTACAAAGTGTCCAATGCCACAAGCCACAAGCTCTCTTTGCATGTGCAAGGAGTGGGGTTTTCCCATACGGATGTAAATCTTATTTTTTATCTTCAATTCTATATATATTGTCATACCCACATTCAGAAATATGGTAGGAATTATTTTATAGTCATAGTGAATATATTTAACTAGTTTTATAGAAGAATTCCATAAAAGTTTCAATAGGGGCAAAATGGTCATTTCACACAAAATCACGTGTTTAAGTGAAAAATGAGTATGATAAATATAATGTATTAAGTGTGCTAGCCATAAGAATAGAGTGGTAGAAAGATTATGGAAAATACACGTGATGTGATACCGAGATAAATACGTGTTTGTAAAACAATAGAAAGAAATTAAAGAATAAGAGTAAAATGGTCTTTTCACTCACAACTAGATGAAAAAGTTGGGAGTGAAAATGAACAAGAACATGTGTTAAATCCATTGAAAAGTGAGAGTATATCGGTAAATGCACGTATGGCATAATTGGAACTATCATAAAAGTGCAAAGACAAAATGGGAATATATATTTATTTTATTAGTTATAAGGTTTCAATTGACAAAACCCTAGCCATTCTCATCCCTTGGGCACGCCACCTTCTTCCCATTTCTCCTCTATTTCTTCAAAGTCTTCCAAGAAAATTACATGAGAATTCATGCCTAAGTAAATATATGTTCATTTTGTGGCTTTCTAAGGTAAGAATATTAGAAAAAGTTTGTGATTTGTGTTTTATAAGTATGAGTTCTCATGAATTTATGTGTTTTAGCACGAATCAATGGAGAAAGTGAGCAAATGAAGCAAAGAAAATGATTCTTGCAAGAAAAAGGTAAGGAAAATGATGAGTAAACCCAATCTAAGCTTTAATTTGAGTAGTATATGTGTAAGTTGATTCTTGAGTGTTTGTGTATGATGTATGATAAGAAGTATTGGCTATTTAGATGCTTGTTTGATGGAGAATAATGTGTAGAAGTTCAGCCAAGATGAGTAGTTATGTAGATGTGATGTTTTGGTTGAACTTTGGATGATATTTTGAAGTGTTGATGTTAGAATTTGGAAGTGTTGAATCCGGCCAGAATTGAAGTTAAGTTTGGTGAGTTTTTGCTCCAATTTTGGTGGATTTGGAGAGATGTGGAAGTGTGGCCAATCAAGTATTTGCATATGCATGTGAATTGTTTGATGAAAATTCAAAGAGAAATGCATGTATGAGTTTGTTAAATCTTGTTGAAGAAATTGTTTCAGAAAGGAAAGAATTAGAGTTGAAAGGTTATGTTAAGTTTAACCAAGTGTAAGTTTTAGTATTCAAGAGTGCATTTTGTTATGCCAAAATTTAGAATAACACTTGGTTATGTTAGTTCAATGAAAGGAATGGCCTTTAGTGCATGGTTCAAGTTGCTTGAATTTTTAGCATTAGTTTGAATGGCATATTGTATTTAGTCATTGAATTATGAGTTTTGAAACTTATGACTTTAGAAAAATGATGGCAAGGATTGCATATTAAATTGTTGCAATAGTGTAGTATTGATGATAATAAAAGATGGGTGATTATATTATAATATTACAATATGCACCATAAATTGTCAAGCTTGTATGCTTGAAATTAGAAAGATCATTCAAAGAATGGCTTGGCCAAATGAGTATATTGTTGTTTCTTGTTTTGAGATTAGTTATAAACAATATGTAATAAGTGATTTTATTGTATAAAGAATAGAAAAGTTTTTCCAAGTATAAATATCAAAGAAACATCAAAGAAATAGAAGTTTAATTTATGTATTAAATAATAAATACATGACAATTTTAGAAATTGATTGATATGAGTATAGTTTTCATGCCTTATTATATATTACAAGCTATAGAATTTGCTAGAAGATCTTGAAAATATTTTGTATTGGCCGAAAGTTTAGTTAAGAATGTTAGAAAGAAATTAGAATTTAGCCAAAGTATATATGTTGTGCCCATATGTTAGATTGAATTTACAATGATTAATATGACAATATAGATTAATGTACAGAATGTAGTCAAAAGAAAGAAGGGCATGTATAACAATTGAAGTTGACGGTCATGTAAGAGAACACAAATTTACTGCATTAAGAGTTGTATTTAGAAAGTTGTACAAGGCATGTTTGTTACATTAAAAAAATATTAGAGAGTTGTTTAATGACATGATTATGTGACATATAAGTTTGAGAAAATCTAGTGGCATAATTGGGCGAGTTAGTAGACTTGATACCTAAGTTGTGGCATAGCTTTTTATATAAGAAATTAGATTGCCCAAAATGTAGAATTCATTCCCTAGTTGAATTGTGTCGTTTTAATATCTCACTAATAGAATTATAGAAGAGTAGAATTTGTGAGAGATAATGTACTTGTGTACGTGTACATTTTACATAGCATGATAGAATTGAAAAATTACAGAATTATGTAGAACTTATAGAATCACGTATGTACACACGATGCATAGAATTCAGAAATAAAGAATAAAATAGAAAATGTTTAAGTTAAGTGTGTTGCTAGAATAGAACTTTGGGCTTTCCAGAAAAGAATAGAAATAAAAGCCTTAGAATTAATAAAATGCATGCCAGAGTCAGGCACGTATGTGGGGATCACGCATAGACAGCATATAAATGCATGACATAGCATAGCATATATTTCAAAAAATTTAAAATTATTGGAAAATGTCTAGCTAGTTATTTTGCAGGTTTACAGATCATGTTTTCAGAGGGCTGTTGCGATGAGGAACCTATGAGCATTCGCTGCATTAGCTAGTGGTGACAAAGATGTAGAAGTTTTCCACATGCACGCCAACATCAATGAAGTGCATATGGATGAGGACTGTACCTAGAAAGAATTTCAGAATACGCTCACATGGCCAGGTTCCAAATCCATACCCTAGCCTAGTTCGATCGACAAACCAGAACAGAAAACAAAAAGAGTTTTAGAAAGAAAGAAAAATAGAATAAAAAATAAAAAACAGAAAGAATTTCAAAAAGAAAGAAAAATAGGATAAGAAATAGAAAACAAAAAGAAAGGAAACGAATTTCAGAAAGAATTAGAAAAGAATTTTCAGAAAGAATACGAACATGATCACTTGCATATGAATTAGACATTTTATGTGCATTGCATCTTATGCATTTATACATAGATTAAAGAGTTTGTTTTATTATTGCGTGTCTGACCAACCAAGAAAAGAAAATAGAAGCTCATGAGAATAGAGAAGAAAAGAAAATAGAAGCTCATGAGAATAGCCAAGAAAAGAAAATAGAAGCCCTTGAAAATAGAGAAGAAAAGAAAATAGAAACTCATGAGAATAGAGAAGAAAATAAAATAGAAACCCATGAGAATAGAGAAGAAAAAAAAATAGAAGCCTATGAGAATAGAAAAGAAACTAGAGATATATAAGAAAAGAACAGAAATTAGATATATGCTAGAAAAGAACAGAAATTAGAAACATGATAAATAGCAAGGAAACTTAGCGATGTGTTGAGTAAAGAAAGAAACATAAAGTTATAATCTAGTACAGAAAAGAAATAAAATGATAAAGAATAGCAAAGCATTAGAAGGATTTAGAAAGATTTGAGAAAAATAGAAGACTGCTAAGTAGTACGCCTGAGACTAATGAGAGAAAGCAAACAGAAATTTAGAAGCAGTACAGCGAAAACGGGGATAGCGGAGTAAGAGCATAGTTAGATTTGGTTTACTTACTGAGCATTTATAGCTCACCCCTTTGCTTCCCTTATTTTTGCAGGTATTAGATTATAGTGCTCGGGAGATGTCAAGCTAGTGAGAGGATTGCACATACTGTCTCAGTGAAAAATTTTAATGTAGATTTATATATGTGAGAAATATCATTGTGTAATAGTATGTTATAACTAGATTAAGGATATAAATTTTAGATGAACATTTTTTTTAAGCTAGCAATTCTCTAGATTCTCTCTATAAGATACTCAGTGAATACTTGCCTGGTGAGATATTATAT